AGGGGTAATTGGTCAGACACACAAAAGCACACAGATGCGAACACACAAATTAAGTCAGGGCAGGCGGTGAGAAAGCTCTCTGTTACCATAGGAACGTGACCCAAAGCCCCGTACACTCCTATCAACGTAAACTGACCCAGCATCCCCCACTGTGGACTTTACCCAGATGAGGGGCGGGAGAAGGAACATTCGAACACCGAGGTGATGTAACAAAGCAGCAGGGTCTCTTTACAAAAGCAGGAAGTTGTTTTAATCAGGTAATGGAGAACACAAAGGTCACCGACACAAAAGGTCAGGATTTAGGATTATACAAGTGAAACACTGACGCCTGATGAGCAGCCGCCAGTGCACTGAAAAGTTTGTTCTGGAATATATTTCATTTATAAGGAAGCACCTTTACCTTTAGATCCAATGAAGCTGAGGAACAACTTGAACATTTTGTTCCCATTGACGAGTCTTTATGAAGCTGTTCAGATGATCATCTCGACCACAGGACAATTTTAAGTGTGTTACGTGTTCCACCTTGTGGTCACAGGTAGACATTGCACTTATTGAACATGTTCTCCAATGTGTCTCTCGTGTAAGAGTTAAATACATCAAGACAAACATACATTTTACTGAGAACTGATGCAATGACAGGTTCACATTCAGGTTTATCGGTTTTTAGACACGTCACATGATCAACAGGAACACACGGTACACAATAGAAGCCATCTGGGCTTTCCAGGTTCTGATACTCAAATTCAACCTGAACAGATTCATTCATGTAGTTTATAATGAGGAAAACAACATGGAGGTGGAACTTCTGTTTGTGAGGTTGCATCTGATGTGAGGTGAAGTAGACATGTTTACTTCTGACGCACGGGGCCAAGCTAGGTGAAAACAGCTGTCAGCATGGTGGTACATGGTGGCTACAGGACCTGGACACCGTTTGGGGCTTTCGCATCTGGGCCCAGTCCCAAGTAGGGCCCTATAGGGATTTTTGTGTTCACATGTGGGTAGCCAGTTGAGGTGGCTCAGGCCTTTTGTTAGGATGCCTCCCTGGTGAGGTTTTCCTGGCACGTCCAACTGGGAGAAGGCCCAAAGAAAGACCCAGGGCATGCTGGAGGGCGGGGCCGCTGCTAGTCTTGATTGGCCAGGGAGCCCCAGGGGTTGTATAGTTTAAAAAATTACAATTAACCCTTTAGGCACCATAGTTCTTACAGTAAAATATGAAAATTTTAAATCACTATTTTAAGAGCTTGTAGCTTAAATCTGGTTAGAGATAGAGGAATATTGTCAATTAGAAAAATCTTCAGTATGAGCCAAATTTTGTGATAGGAACAAATTCACTCACATAATTTGCATATTATGACGTCTTCAGGTGGCAGCCATATTGGATCACATTTGCAGACTTTTTCAAATGTTTTTGTCTTATTTTCTTAGTGTTGTTATTGTTTATGATACAAATATACATATTCCTATGTAGACATATATAACTATGTATGTATATATATTTATATTTATTACTTTATTGGTATTTAGTTATGTTTACTGCGTATCGATCAAGAACACTGTTTTTGGTGCTTCAGTGTCATGAACACATTTCACTCATCCCTTCTTTGGTTTATTTTGTTTATAATTGTTATACATACATACATGTTTATGTTTATTCATTTGGCAGACACTTTTATCCAAAGCGACTTAAAATTTATAACCTATAGGACATGTTGTGATCTGTGGGGGAAACCGGAGTACCCAGAGGAAACCCACGCATGCATGGGGAGAACATGTAACTCCACGCAGAAAGGCTGCAGCCGAGTTTTGAACCTGCAACCTTTGTGCTGCAAGGCAACAGTGCTAACCACTCGCACTCTGACAATCATACGGGTGTGCTGCAGAAAGAAATTCCACAGGTAACCTGTATTTACAAATACACGTGCGTGTGTGTGTGTATAGATAGATAGATAGATAGATAGATAGATAGATAGATAGATAGATAGATAGATAGATAGATAGATAGATAGATAGATAGATAGATAGATAGATAGATAGATGATAGATAGATAGATGATAGATAGATAGATAGATAGATAGATAGATAGATAGATAGATAGATAGATAGATAGATAGATAGATAGATAGATAGATAGATAGATAGATAGATAGATAGATAGATAGATAGATAGATGATAGATAGATAGATGATAGATAGATAGATAGATAATAGATAATAGATAGATAGATAGATAGATAGATAGATAGATAGATAGATAGATAGATAGATAGATAGATAGATAGATAGATAGATAGATAGATAGATAGATAGATAGATAGATAGATAGATGATAGATAGATGATAGATAGATAGATGATAGATAGATAGATGATAGATAGATAGATAGATAATAGATAATAGATAGATAGATAGATAGATAGATAGATAGATAGATAGATAGATAGATAGATAGATAGATAGATAGATAGATAGATAGATAGATAGATAGATAGATAGATAGATAGATAGATAGATAGATAGATAGATGATAGATAGATAGATGATAGATAGATAGATAGATAGATAGATAGATAGATAGATAGATAGATAGATAGATAGATAGATAGATAGATAGATAGATAGATAGATAGATAGATAGATAGATGATAGATAGATAGATGATAGATAGATAGATAGATAATAGATAATAGATAGATAGATAGATAGATAGATAGATAGATAGATAGATAGATAGATAGATAGATAGATAGATAGATAGATAGATAGATAGATAGATAGATAGATAGATAGATAGATGATAGATAGATAGATAGATAGATAGATGATAGATAGATAGATGATAGATAGATAGATAGATAATAGATAATAGATAGATAGATAGATAGATAGATAGATAGATAGATAGATAGATAGATAGATAGATAGATAGATAGATAGATAGATAGATAGATAGATAGATAGATAGATAGATGATAGATAGATAGATGATAGATAGATAGATAGATAGATAGATAGATAGATAGATAGATAGATAGATAGATAGATAGATAGATAGATAGATAGATAGATAGATAGATAGATAGATGATAGATAGATAGATGATAGATAGATAGATGATAGATAGATAGATAGATAATAGATAATAGATAGATAGATAGATAGATAGATAGATAGATAGATAGATAGATAGATAGATAGATGATAGATAGATAGATAGATAGATAGATAGATAGATAGATAGATAGCGAAGGCCGTTAGCGATCAGAAAACAACTGGCAGTGAATGAGTTAAGAAGCAGCTGAAGACTCAGCTGTTCAGGCTGGCTTTGAGAATAGTCTCTCCTGCTTCCTATAGCTCTTTATTTTATTTAGGATTTGAACTAATCTTATCTATTTAAGAGCATTGTAACTTGTTGTATTTCTGCCTTGCTCTCTCTTTCACATTGAAAGCTTTTGTAGAATATGCTCTGTTAATCTGTTCTATTTTGTTTTAATAAACCTTCGCTCACCTGCATTCCAGCCTTCCTTTTTTTGATTTTCAGTGTCCATTAGCTGTGCAGCACCATTTTGAAAGTGGGTGATGCACAGAGTGCTCTGCTCTGTAAGATGAACACAACAAGCTCCTGGCTGATGATAGTCTCTGTCTTTGTGTCCAATGATGAAGCCTGTCTCCATTGTCCCATCGCTAACCCATGGTGCTCTGGAGACAACCTGGACATGTCCATAAGCACCTCAGAAACTGAAGACATGATTCTGGACTTGAGTGAAAAATACAACAGTTACATATGTATTATATTTTTGTACTGAGTATTTATTATATTATAGTACATATGAGGAATATTTATTCTAAATAGAATCTAATTTTTTACTTTTGCCCATCAGAGCTCAGTGAGTGGAGAAAACAAGAGCGTCGCCCTCTGGTGGCCTCATTAAGCATTACGTGAAGCTATAATGACTAATTCAGCACCTTCCCAGCACTTTTGTTCGCTTCTCAGAGCTGCTAAAAATAAAAGTAACAACATCAAAAGTTTCTATCACATTCTTTATAGAAAGTAAGATTTTTTAGTTTGTTTGAAGTTCATAAAGAATAAAACTGGTCAGATTTAGATAAGAAAAACATAAAGAAAAAATTATTTTACTTGTTTTTCGTGGCTTTTAAAGAGACCATCTAAAATAATAAAAATATAACGCGTTATGTGTGTTTTATTCTACTCCAGCAGGTGGCGCTAATGCGCCTTTACGCTGGTTACCGACCACCGGAAGAAGCAGAAACCGGAAGCTGCTAGCAGAGCTAGCTTGTTGTTGCTCTGGTGTGTGAGGAGAATATTTGAGGCTCTGCAGTGAAAACGTCTTCACTTCAGTCTCTGGGAGAGTTGATCAGCTAAAGCGACTAACTGCTGCTGCTGCAGAAATCTTCTCACCAGGCTGTGGAAACTTTCTCCTCCTCCTCAACAACTTGGTGGAGTTCTTTCCAGAACCAGAGAAGATATTCTGCGGTCTTCGTGACAATCGGAGCTCCAGAATCAGGTTGTGGGTGAGAAAAGCTTTTCTCTAGACTTCCTGCCCTCTGGATCTGCTGCTGTTCCTTTGGCCAGAACCAAAGCGTTGGATCTTTAATGTCCTGCGTTGTTCTGAAGCAGCATCTTAATCAGCTCTCCTGCTTTGTTTCTATTGCAGCTGTTAGCTAAACACGGCTAAAGAATACCTGCTACCACTTCAGGATCATCCATCAGCTGGGACTGATTGATCGTGTGTTCTTCACCACCTGGACCTGGACAGCATGGACACAGGTAGGGCTGCCACCTTTCAGATATGTAAATGAGTTGGAGAAGTGGTTTTTCTCTTAGACAGCTGTGCTATTCACACAGGTGTGAAACATCTGTAAACGCCAGATCTGGTGCAGGAAAATAGCTGAACAGGGAGTGGGGACACACTTTGCATGGCTATTTCTGCGGTTGTAAGTGATAATAACAATAATAATAGTAATAGTACATTAAACTTGTCTAGCGCTTTTTAAGTCAGTCAAAGAGGCTTCACAAAAAATGCAATAAACACATAATAAAACAACATGAAACATAGTAAACAGACTGGGGATGCTGGGTTGATCTTAAGAGAAGTGGGTTTTAAGCAGTGGCTTAAAAGTAGAAAGAGAGACGGCATTCCTGATAGAAGTGTTAATCTTCACTTGTCTCCTGATTTGTTTCGATTATTGGATGAACGATTCAATTCGATTCGATATCCCGATCCATCATGATTATTTCATATTAATTTGTTTTCATCAATAAATAGAAGATGTCAGATAATTGCTTTTTTTTTTTAAATCAAAAACGTAAGTGACACAACCTGCCATCCCTCAAAATCTCTCCATTCACAACAGGTTAGGACAAAACATTTTAAACATTTAAGAAGATTTAACAAAGTAAAACATCTGTTTCCTCGTTCAACGCCACGCCTCAGGCTGAGAAAAACACGCTTTGCAAAAAGTCACAAAATCTAAAAAAGTACTGAAAACCTGCAGGACACATAATGTAATAATAAAATACATAATGGGTTCATATATGAGTGTTTAATGTCTCTGAGCAGCTCTAGAGTCAGATATTTATTCCACAGTTGAAGGGTGTCAGAAATAACACCAAATGTTTGACTTAGTTTATTTCATTTGAACCCAGTGGTTCATTTCTGAAATGTTGGAGAATGAATCAAGTTCTGTTTGATGCAGAAAATAATAAAACATAAAACAAATTCTACACTTCCATTCATATTGTAGTGACCTGGCTGGGGTTGTAAGCCAGGTGCATTCTGGGTATTGTGTAATATGTGTTTCCTATCGTTCTGCTAGTTCCTATGTGCTGATTTGCTGTTGTGTGAGTGTTATGTAAGCCACAGGGAAGGTGATGTGTGTTCTGTGGAGCGGGTTGAATTAGCATGGTTAACTGACACCGTGACTCTGTGTGGTAGGAGCGTGATAGAGGATCGTGTCTGTAGCGTTACAAAGCGTTGAAGAAAAAGCCTAATAAAGGTCTGTGTGAACTTCTACTGCCTCCTGCTGGTTGATTTGGGGACTATAAACCTGCCGCTTAGACGCTCGGGGTCGCTACAATATTTAAGATGTGTGTTTTATTCTTTCTGATAATTACACCAGCAGAAGGCTGTGGGCTGGATTAGGATTAAATTACCTAGCTGATGGATCTTCTTCACTAACCAGCTAACTAACCTGTCCTGTGTGACCCTCACCATGTAACCTTCATGTCCATGCTGTCTCTGGAGGAGCAGACAGGAAAAAAGATCTCCTGTAAAATGAACCAAAGCTTCCTCCCAGTTTCTCTTTAAGCTGAATTTAACATCAGTTTATCTTCATGAAACAAAATAATAAAGTGGAACAAGAACTTCTGTTTCTCTCTCCTTTTAACTTCACCGTGTCCCTAAATAAGAGACAGACGATCACGCTGCAGCCGTCGTCACTGACCCCGCCCCCTCCCCAAGACCGGATCTCCCGACATCACAACACTCGGTCTGACTGAGCGCTTCGAGGAGAAATAATAATTAAATTACGAAAATAATAATGCGTGTTTGGAGGAGCGTCCGCCGATCCTCTCTCTTGGGTGAGCAGACAGCTCTCTCTCTCTCCCTCTCTCAGTTGCTGTGCGAGCGGAGCGCACCGCGTGACAACCCGCTCAATTAACATAATTTACGGCCCAAATCCAACAGAACCGGTCGGGCTGATCCGGTTCCAGTTCGATCTCAGGTTACAACTCTAGCGCTCAGCCCTGCAGTACCGCATTAAGGCGGAACCACTTGGTAAATGTGGAGGACGCTCACTCTGACAGATATGGATGCTGCGCTGGTGCCGCTGTTAAAAAAACAACTACATTCCACTATAATCGATTATGGCGTCCTCTTCTACGATGCAGAATCGTTTATGTCCGCATCCCCATGCATCGATTATTTAATTACTTTCCTCAGCTCTAATTCCTGATGCTTAGTGGAAGAGAGTTCCAAAGTGTGGGGTCAGCGGCTGCAAAGGCTCGAGCCCCCATGGTGCCATGTTTTGTTCCGAAAGGGGAATGGAGGTTGGAGTCGGCAGAACGGAGGTGCCGGGAAGGAGAATGGTGATGGACTGATTATCTTTTTGATTTAAAAGTTGTGAAACTATTCATTATTTCCATGCTGCAATAAATGGTCTGCAGCGCTAAAGACAAAAACAAAATGCTTACTACAGCCTCCACATGTGACTCCAGAGTGCAGTCGCTAAGTCAGCATGCAGCCCAGTGAATTTAATGCCCTAGTCGAGTGGGTGGTGGTCTTATGGAAACATGAGAGCAAGTCAAATTGCAACTTTAAGAGCACTCTGAGCAACAGTTGTTTTTCTACACATCTGTTTTTGATTCACCGTTTAGCAGTTGTCTGATTTTTCTATATTTTTTCTAAAGTCAAGCTGTCGTTTACAACTTTTTCTTGTGTTTCTTGTTTTCTATTTTCATATTCAGGCCAGTTTACACACGGAACTCCAGTTATTGCTTTGTTTTGTCCAATCTGGGCTGCAGCCAAATCACACAGTCAGTACACCACCATGCTGCTCCTCTCAACTCACATCCTCTATACAGTGGGGCAAAAAAGTATTTAGTCAGCCACCGATTGTGCAAGTTCTCCCACTTAAAATGATGTCAGAGGTCAGTAATTTACATCATAGGTACACTTCAACTGTGAGACAGAATGTGAAAAAAAAATTCCATGAATTCACATGGGGGGGGGGGGGGGGGGGTGTCACAGCATTTGTCTGCATTCCTTCGTGGGGGTTTTAGTTGCTTGCAGCTAAAGGCTACCAGGATGTCAGATTCAGATAACAAGACTTTGTTTGGGTCAGGCTGAGATAATTTTCCTCTCTGCCTTCAGTCTTTAAACTGATCATTTCCAGTCCTTCATTGAAGCCAGTTTTGGGTTTTTAAGCTTGTCCATACCGTCCGGTAACTCTCTCCGAGATGACATCCATTTTGCGCACTAATACCGGTATCGCAGCTAGAGCATTGTCCAGCTTACGATTCACCTCGAGTAACATTCCAGTCTGAGAAGTCTCCACACGGACGGTGCTTTCCGTGGGTGCGGGTCGCCCTCCAATTGCTCCCGTCTTCCCAAATTTCCAGAAAACCAGATATCCTCCCACTCCAATCAGGAGAAATCCAGTGATCATCAGACCGAATATCCACACGTCTTCGATATCCTCAATGGACAACTGGGGGAGGCATATGGTCTTCCATTCCCACCAGGAATCCAGCAGATACCCCACCGGGTGTGTCCCCTGTGGACATGTGGGAGCCCCCTGCTCCATTCTCATTGTTGAAAAAATCTTATCGATCGCGTTGAATGACCAGTTTATCAAATGCATGGTTAAAAATAGAGTTTTTCAGAAGAAATGCAGAGAAGCGCTCTGTGGGAAGACAGGACAAAGAGCCTTGGGAAAAAAAGATAAGGGAGCGAAAGAGGGAAGCGTCTGTACTCCTCGAGTGCCTGAAGAAATACACATAATCAAACTGGCATATAAAGGGTTAAAACTTAGATAAACATTCAATATTTGATTGTTTCAATCAGAAATGAAGTTGAGCCCAAGATTTGGACCCAAAAAGCAGAAAAAAATATTAATCTGGACTAGGGCTGGGCGATATATCGATATTTTTAAAATATCGGTATAATTTTAAAACAAGATATAAGATGACTTTATATCGATATAACTGGTGAAACTGCTATGCTAGCAATTAGCTGCTGTGCTAGTGACATGCTGCTCCATCTTTAAGCGGCTATTACATGTATTCTTACAAGTTTGCTCAATCTGAGAGCCTCTGGGTAATTGTGCTGCTCTAAACTTCGCATTTGGCGTCCTGGTTTTTAATTATTTGGGGGCGTTCAACGTCAACGAAGTTCTGTTTTCCATCCTGCTTGTGCGGAGAGACAATCCAAACCCCTCCCTCCTCTACGGAAAGCCGGAGTGGCCAAATTACCTCAGATATATTGTAAGGGTTTGAATTGTAAACTATAGGGTTACCGTTTTATTTTGAAGGCGAGCTCAACGGGTGAGAAATGTTGTTCCGTTTTTTTCCACTCTGGTTTGCTATGCTAGTAAATACTCTGTTACGAGCGATTCTGTAGAAAAAGTTAAGAGTTTGTAAGGCGTGGGTTATGGCGAAAGTAGCCCGAAAATAATACTCATAAATGAGCAACCAGAGACTCTTGAGTCATTACAGTATATTCGCTGATATGAGTCAATACTGTTAGGGTTAGGAGGAAAAATATCGAGATATATCGTACATCGGAAGTTCAGCTAAAAGATATCGAGATATAAGTTTTGGTCCATATCGCCCAGCCCTAATCTGGACCATTTTTAAAGTTGTTTTAAAAGTGGACATTGTTGTCCTCTAATGCCATCTAATAACTCAGTTTTAGTGTGTTTTTTTCATGAATTACAAATGGGCATTTCAGGGGTTAAAAGCCTCAAAATGATTGAGTTTTTTTTTATGTTTGAGCATGGCTGAAGTTGTTCAACAGATTTATGAAAAAAAAAGTAAAAATAAACATTAATGTATACATTTTTTATAGCCACTTTTACAAGCGGACATTTTTGTCCTCTAATGACTTTTGTATGAAAATTAAAGTGAAGCCTGAGGGTTAAGGCTCATATGATTTATAGAGGCTCAAAGTTCAGTTTCCAATTGTAAATACATTTCATTCTACTGTCAGTTTAAAGAAATAATACAACTGTTATATGTGGGGAAAAAATTACAGCTGTCTGTAATTCACATAATATGTTTTTGTGTTTCCTACAGATTTTCAACAGGTGGTTCTGGTTAAATAAGAAGCTTCAGAAGAACAGAGTGCTCGTGTCAACCACCAGCACCTAGATTTTCTCCACAAAAGGGAGGAACAGGAGAAACTCTGGCCTAGTTTGGAGGGTGTTGGGTAATTTTATCAATCCAGGATTACCTTAGGGAAGTTCAAAGCACAGGGGGGTTATAGTAATCAGTTTGTCAAAACCAATACCAATAATCAAACAATCAATCAGTTTAGACTTTGCAAAGTGGAGAGGAAAAGTACACACCAGTCGGTTGTCAGGTTCGCTCTCATCGGGCAGATGCCTTCCGAAAGGCTTTATTAAGCATACACAAAAAAAGATAACCACACACACATTCGACATTCTTCACAGACTCTTAGGCAGGAAGACACACCAGGTGCAATTCTAAATCAACAAACCACAAAGCAGTCGCAGTCTGGACTTTCTCAAGGGAGTTCTACTGAAAAGGGGACCAGTACAAGTCCTGGTACTTAGGGCAAGGTCAATCCTCCCTGTAGGAACTACAAAAGCCTGTCTGTTACCAGAGTAAAATAAATGGATGAAACTTCGTTTAAAAACACCAGATGTTAAACAGAAAGAAGCCTTTCGCCTGTGAGCTCTGTGGACAAAGATTTAGTCAAAAGACGCATTTAAACAGTCACATGAGAGTCAACACAGGACAGAAGCCTTTCGCCTGTGAGCACTGTGTAAAAAGATTTAGCCAAAAGACAACTTTAAACAAACACATGGAAGTCCACACAGGACAGAAGCCTTTCGCCTGTGAGCTCTGTGGACAAAAATTTAGCCAAAAGACGCATTTAAACAGTCACATGAGAGTCCACACAGGACAGAAGCCTTTTGCCTGTGAGCTCTGTGTAAAAAGATTTAGCCAAAAGACAAATTTAAACAGTCACATGAGAGTCCACACAGGACAGAAGCCTTTCGCCTGTGAGCTCTGTGTAAAAAGATTTAGCCAAAAGACAAATTTAAACAGACACATGAAAGTCCACACAGGACAGAAGCCTTTCGCCTGTGAGCTCTGTGGACAAAGATTTAGCCTAAAGGCACATTTAAACAGTCACATGAGAGTCCACACAGGACAGAAGCCTTTCGCATGTGAGCTCTGTGGACAAAGATTTAGCCATCAGACAACTTTAAACAGTCACATGAGAGTCCACACAGGACAGAAGCCCTTTCCTTGTGAGCTATGTGGACAAAGATTTAGCCAAAAGACAACTTTAAGCAGCCACATGAGAGTGCACACAGGAGAGAAACCTTTTGCCTGTGAGCTCTGTGGACAAAGATTTAGCGAAAAGTCAAATTTAAACAAACACATGTGTGTCCACACAGGACAGAAGCCTTTCACCTGTGGGCTCTGTGTAAAAAGATTTAGCCAAAAGACAAATTTAAACAAACACATGATAGTCCACACAGGACAGAAGCCTTTCGCCTGTGAGCTCTGTGGACAAAGATTTAGCCAAAAGGCACATTTAAACAGTCACATGAGAGTCCACACAGGACATAAGCCTTTCGCCTGTGAGTTCTGTGTAAAAAGATTTAGCCAAAAGACAAATTTAAACAGTCACATGAAAGTCCACACTGGACAGAAGCCTTTCGCCTGTGAGCTCTGTGGACAAAGATTTAGCAAAAAGACAAATTTAAAGAGTCACATGAAAGTCCACACAGGACAAAAGCTTTTCGCCTGTGAGCTCTGTGTAAAAAGATTTAGCCAAAAGGCACATTTAAACAGTCACATGAGAGTCCACACAGGACAGAAGCCTTTCGCCTGTGAGCTCTGTGGACAAAGATTTAGCCGTCAGACAACTTTAAACAGTCACATGAGAGTCCACACAGGACAGAAGCCCTTTGCTTGTGAGCTATGTGGACAAAGATTTAGCCAAAAGACAACTTTAAGCAGCCACATGAGAGTGCACACAGGAGAGAAACCTTTTGCCTGTGAGCTCTGTGGACAAAGATTTAGCGAAAAGTCAAATTTAAACAAACACATGTGTGTCCACACAGGACAGAAGCCTTTCACCTGTGGGCTCTGTGTAAAAAGATTTAGCCAAAAGACAAATTTAAACAAACACATGATAGTCCACACAGGACAGAAGCCTTTCGCCTGTGAGCTCTGTGGACAAAGATTTAGCCAAAAGGCACATTTAAACAGTCACATGAGAGTCCACACAGGACATAAGCCTTTCGCCTGTGAGTTCTGTGTAAAAAGATTTAGCCAAAAGACAAATTTAAACAGTCACATGAAAGTCCACACTGGACAGAAGCCTTTCGCCTGTGAGCTCTGTGGACAAAGATTTAGCAAAAAGACAAATTTAAAGAGTCACATGAAAGTCCACACAGGACAGAAGCTTTTCGCCTGTGAGCTCTGTGTAAAAAGATTTAGCCAAAAGGCACATTTAAACAGTCACATGAGAGTCCACACAGGACAGAAGCCTTTCGCCTGTGAGCTCTGTGGACAAAGATTTAGCCGTCAGACAACTTTAAACAGTCACATGAGAGTCCACACAGGACAGAAGCCCTTTCCTTGTGAGCTATGTGGACAAAGACTTAGCCAAAAGAAAACTTTAAGCAGCCACATGAGAGTGCACACAGGAGAGAAACCTTTTGCCTGTGAGCTCTGTGGACAAAGATTTAGCGAAATGACAACTTTAAACAGTCACATGAGAGTCCACACAGGACAGAAGCCTTTCGCCTGTGAGCTCTGTGGACAAAGATTTAGCCATCAGACAACTTTAAACAGTCACATGAGAGTCCACACAGGACACAAGCCCTTTCCTTGTGAGCTATGTGGACAAAGATTTAGCCAAAAGACAACTTTAAGCAGCCACATGAGAGTCCACACAGGACAGAAGCCTTTCACCTGTGAGCTCTGTGTAAAAAGATTTAGCCACAAGACAACTTTAAACAGACACATGAGAGTCCACACAGGACAGAAGCCTTTCACCTGTGAGCTCTGTGTAAAAAGATTTAGCCTCAAGACAAATTTAAACAGACACATGAGAGTCCACACAGGACAGAAGCCTTTCACCTGTGAGCTATGTGTAAAAAGATTTAGCCAAAAGACAACTTTAAACAGACACATGAAAGTCCACACTGGACAGAAGCCTTTCACCTGTGAGCTCTGTGTAAAAAGATTTAGCCTCAAGACAAATTTAAACAGACACATGAGAGTCCACACAGGACAGAAGCCTTTCACCTGTGAGCTATGTGTAAAAAGATTTAGCCAAAAGACAACTTTAAACAGACACATGAGAGTCCACACAGGCCTTTCGCCTGTGAGTTCAGTGGAAAAGATTTATCCAAAAGATCAATTTAAACGGTCACAAAAGAGTCCTTAAAGGACAGAAGCATTTTGCTTGTGAGCTCTGTGGACGAAGATTTTGCTGAAAGAAAACTTTAAACTATCATCTAAACATCCACTAGGGCTTAACGATCTATTGCCGGGGTCTCCAATCTTTTTTGGCTCGTGAGCTACTTTTACACAATGAAAGTACAGCAGAGTTACTGCCATATGATTTATTTACATTGATACTTTCCATGTGTGAATGTGCTTATGTTAAACATGCTATACTTACTATATTAACATGCATTGTATTCACAAGTTGATTTCTCTGTATTTCAGTACATCAGTATATATATATATTTTAAAAGTATAAGTAAACTAGTGACATTCTGAAAACCAAATTAAACAAAACATATTTAGTTTTTTTAAACTAATCAGATACTTTCAGAAAATGAATAACAAATCTACTTCATGTGAATGATTTGGTAATTTTTTAGAGGTTAGTAACATAACTTTTTAAGCACACAGGAACAGCTAACCTGTAAAGCTGATGATATGTTAAATAAAATACAAGCTAAATGTGATGAAAACACAAAAGTCTAAATAGTTTGAATTGAAGTAAAAAATGTAAAATCAGAAATAAGACTTGTTCCTGCTCTCCTGATTTACTGAATAATTTTTATGGTTTTTTTGGTCATGAAAGTTAAGTTTTACTGCGTTTATTGCTGACATTATTAAGGTTGGAGATTTATCCTTTTTTTCTGCATCTTGTAGGTTTTTTTCTCCGCAGGCCTGAAGGCTGTGCGTTACACAGAGCAGAGAGACAGAGAGCAAGAGACCAGAACCAAATGAAATGATCACATCACACCAATCTTAAAATATTTACACTGGCTTTCAGTAACTTACAGGATTGATTTCAAAGACCTTTTACTTACTTTTAAATCATTAAATGGCCAACGACCTCTGTATATAGCAGAGATGTTTTAAAGGTATCACCCTTCAAAATCACTTAGATCAGCAGATAAATTCCAACTGGTACAACCCAGAGCCCGCACCAAGCACGGAGAGGCTGCCTTTAGCTGCTATGCGGTCCGTCTCTGGAACTGTCTTCCAATAGACATTAAGACCTCTCCCACCATTTCCATTTTTAAATCCAGATTAAATACTAAACTTTTTTATGATGCCTTCCATTAATCTGTCCTTGCATCTGTGCTCTACTAGGTCTTTATCTGTACTGTGTTCAATTGATTCTACATGTATTTTATATGTATACCTATTCTGTGCTGTTTTATTGTGTATTATTGTGTAATTAAAGTGAATACTTGTAATAAAGTGTAGTTACTGTGTAAAGCAGTATTTACTAGGAATGATTAATAAAAATAAAAACTAGAATTGAACCTGAGCTACATGGTAATAACAGTTTAAGAACTCAGAAACAACAATACCTAACTTACTAAGTAATTACCATGTAAGTACTAAGTAATTAGAGGACTGTAAAAGAAAACTACCAATAATTTTACTTAATATGCTTTTATTTTTGTGTACTATGTTCTGTGTCAATATTCTTTGATTTTATTTTACACAACATGATGAGACATTTTAACTATTTCATTTCACTTGTGATTGTTTTAACCATGTGAAGCAGATTGGGCTACGGTTTTGTGTATGAAATGGGCTATGTAATAAACTTGACTTGAGAGAGAGTTCACAATCATGTTTTTTTACTAAATGAGACACTCAGCTGAAACTGGGGGAAATATATGATGAATCTACAGGAGATGTCCAGAGTTTTTAAAGCCCTTGTTCATCGTGTGTGTGTGTGTGGGGGGGGGGGGGGGGGGGACACACACACACACACACACACACACCTGCATGTCTGTGACGAGTGTCAGTGCTGCTATCTGCTTAGTAATGCATGACTTCATATTAACATTCATATGAAGCAGTTGTTAATACTGTATTTAATAGTTTATTCATGCTTAATAATGCACTAAAAGCATGAATAAAGTGACCCTTTAAATTAAAGTGTTACAGAAAATCTAAATAAACTAAATGAATATTTTATTACTCAGCAACAACAGGCCTGTCATGGCTGCTTTCACCCAAATGAAACCAATCCTCTGAACATGACCTTGTGCCACATCCTGCTTTTAATCCCAGATGATCTAAAGTCATTTCTCTGTAATTAAAGTAGCAGGTGTGTGTTGACCTGAACATGGTGAGCTCATACATGATCCATGCTTTCAGTGTGTCTCTTGGGGAGCCACCCTAAAGGCTTGGTGTCAGCGTCCCCTAATGGCCTCCTGTAGTCCAGCTAATCTGAGTCTGTTACCAGTGAGAAAAGCTTGTGATGGACACGTGGGATTAATGCTTTCTTTTTTAGTGTGGTGAATGAAGCTTTCTGGGATTTACAGACAGGATCTTTCTTTCTACCTGATTTAAGGCCTGAGACAGCCGTGGCATGCACAGATGGTTCCCATAATAATCATTTCTTTGGTTGTGGACGATCCTTCAGGTACATGTGCTGTTCTGGTTGCATTTGGAGCAGATGTGGGTTAAAGGTTGGTTTATGCTTGACGCGTCCGCACGGCTTCGCGCGGAAAAGTCGCGTCATTTTAACAACCACGCCCCTCCACCGCGTCTCCGCACGGCCCAAGATTTCCGCAACGCGCACCTCGGAAAATTTCTAACCACGCGGACGGTCGGACGCGGAAAAATATGGCGGACCGGCAAGAACTAGTATTGCAGAGGTTCGTAAATACAGACATTTGTATGCTTCAGCTCTCAGAGATCACCGTGATCAACATGTTGTTAATAATTCTTGACATGGACATAATTTTCACTTTAGAAGTGGGGGGGACACGGGGGCTGGGGGGTATCTTTACAGTATGTTCCATTGAGAAACAGGCTTCAACACAAATGGTTGTTTTCTGCTTGGTCCTAGAGCTCAACCAGTGTCAATTTAATATAGTGTAATATTGATTTTGGATAGTAAAAAGTGAAGGGGTCAAAACTTGACTTTGGAAAAAGTGGGGGGGGGGGGGGGGACATGTCCCCCCCTGTCCCCCCCCAAAATTACGTCCATGATTCTTGGGGAGAAATAGCTCGCACTGTCGGAAAAGACGAGGACGCTGTTAAAAAATGCTGGAATGCCATGTTGTAAACAGTAATTTCTACTTCTACTATGGTGTAGTGTTAGATGCATGCTGTAGAGCTCCATGCTGCCCCCTACAGTTTGGGAGAATATTGGCTCACCGCAGAGACGAGCCGCACAAACATATAAAGGTTTCGAGTTGTGAAGCGCGTTCCATCCGCGAGCCGCATCACCAAGCGGAAAGTGAATGCGTCAAGCATAAACCAAGCTTAAGGGGTTAAAGGTCAAACACAGAAAACCTCCAACAGCTGCAGAGAACTGACCTCAGAACCTCCAGTCTACAGTTTGGACTCTCCAGTCCAGAACTCAGAACCTTCACTCCAGAATCAGACAGCTGGTTCTGACTCAGGTCCGGTTCTGTCAGATGGGACGGGTTGGACTTCAGAGCTGAGGACACAACTTCACAGAGACTCTCTGAGAGTCCAGAACCAGGACCAGCAGCTCTGTGATGAGAGAAAAGTCAAAGTCAGTTGTGATAAAATCAGAGAATCTGTCTGATAAACAGCCTGAAAGCAGATGATGACTAAACAGTGATGTCATCATCTGATGAACATCTGCTCCATCTGACTGTCTGACATGAGCCAGTGAATCTGTTCAGTCTCTTTCACACCTTTAATCTGCAGATGGAGGAGGGAACATCCATCATGTCCACAGTCTGTCAGCAGGATCTGATCCAGAGTCAGAATCAACACGTCTGCTGTAGAAAAACACTTGGACTCTTCTCTAGTTTCCATCTGAGCTCAGAGCCTTTAGACGGAGTTCAGCTCAGTGAACAGAGACGATCTCTTAGCCTCCTGTTCCCGTCAGCTCCACCTCTTCACGTGCACACGCAGGAACACGCTGCTGGTGTCCAGCTTTACTCCATCAGAGCTCCAGCAGGACTGGGACTCGGAGCTCTAGTGTGGAACAGTGAGGTGTGTGTGGACACACTCCATCAGAAAGCAGGGATGTGTTTGTTGTTTGTTCTTGAAAAAGGAACCAAACAAACCAGGTTCTGACACAACAAGCTTGGATGCAGAAGGAGGCAGCAGAGAGATGATCTGTCCAGAATCAGACTCCAAACCTTCTGATTCACTTTTCTGTCGTTTTCATTCACTAAACTTATTTTCTGTTTAAACTCAGCAGCTCCAATAACTACTGATGATCATCATCACAACATCTGGACTCACCTGAACTTTCTGCAGTTCCTCACAGCTGGAATCAGTCTCTGTCGTCCCCCTGGTGATGTTCTGTACTTGTGCAGGTCCAACTCCTCCAGAACCTCCTCTGACATCAGCAGCATGTAGGCCAGAGCTGAACACTGGATCTCTGAGAGTCTCTCTGATCTGTTCTCTGACTTCAGGAAGTTTTGGACCTGCTGATAAACTGAGAGGTCCTTCATCTCCATCAGACAGTGGAAGACGTTGATGCTTCTGTCTGGAGAGACTCCATCACTGTTCATCTCCTTCAGGTTGTTGATGGTCCTCTGGATGGTTCCTGGACTGATCTGTGTCTGACCCAGCAGACCTCCTAAGAGTCTCTGGTTGGACTCCACAGAGAGGCCATGGAGGAAGCGGACAAACAGGTCCAGGTGGCCGTTTTCACTGCCGAGGGATTTCTCCATCACTCTCTTCAGGAAGTCCTCCAGAGGTGAGTCTCTGTAGTCTCCTCCCAGGAAGTTCCACCTCCATGTTCCTGCTGGTGAAGCAGTGGAACACGTAGACTGCAGCCAGAAACTCCTGAACGCTCAGATGAACAAAGCAGTAGACTGGTTTCTGGAAGATCACACACTCTCTTCTGAAGATCTCTGTACAAACTCCTGAGAACACCGAGGCCTCTGAGACATCCAGACCAGCCTGCTCCAGGTCTTCTTGGTAGAACATGATGTCTCCTTTCTCCAGATGTTCCAACGCCAGCCTCACCAGCTTCAGAAGAAGCTTCCTGTCAGCCTCCATCAGCTCCTGAGGACTGGTCTCAGGTCCTTCATGGTACTTGTTCTTCTTCCTCTTGGTCTGAACCAACAGGAAGTGTGAGTGCATGTCAGTCATGGTCTTGGGCAGCTCTCCTCTCTGCTCTGTAGACAACATGTTCTCCAGAAGTGTAGCAGTGATCCAGCAGAAGACTGGGATTCCACACATGATGTGGGAGATGATTCTGCTGGACAGCTCTTCATCACTGAACCTCCTCCTGAAGTAGTCCTCCTTCTGCGAGTCAGTGAAGCCTCGTACTTCTGTGTCCCTGTGGACACATGAAGGAGGGATCTGATTGGCTGCTGGAGGTCTGGAGGTGATCCAGACCAGAGCCGAGGGAAGCAGGTTCCCCTTGATGAGGCTTGTCAGCAGCACCTGGACTGATGACCTCTGTGTGACCTCAGAAAGCAGCTGACTGCTGCTGAAGTCCAGAGAAAGTCTGCTTTCATCCAGACCATCAAAGATGAAGAGAAGTTTCCAGACAGCCAGCTTCTCTGCTGGGAGCTTCTGGAATGTTGGATAGAAAACACGGAGCAGCGTGAGAAGACTGTGCTGCTCGTCTCTGATCAAGTTCAGCTCCGTGAAGGAAAGCAGAAGCACCACATGGACATCCTGGTTCTCCGAGCCCTCGGCCCAGTCCAGAGTGAACTTCAGCACTGAGAAGGTTTTTCCAGCTCCAGCGACGCCGTTGGTCAGAACCACTCCGATGGCTTTAACTTTATCTTTATGTTGGTCTTTGTCTGTGTCTTCGTCTTCATCAGGTGAGGCTTTAAAGATGTCCTGGCACCTGATTGGAGCATCATGGAGCCTCTTGGTCCTGGATGTGGTCTCCAGCTGTCTCACCTCATGTTGGGTATCAGCCTCTTCACTCTGTCCCTCTGTGATGTAGAGCTCAGTGTAGATCCTGTTCAGGAGGGTTCAACTTCCTGGTTCATCACTTCCTTCAGTCACACGTTCACATCTGCTCCTCAGACTGAGCCGATGTTCTTCTAGAACCTCCTGCAGACCAACATCTGCTGAGAAATGTGACACAGAGCAGATCTGAATGCTGCAGCAGAACCTCATTGGAACAAAAACAGCAGGACAGCTGATCCTCCTCACCAACAGAACTTCTCTTCCTCCCTCTGATCAGCCATCTTTCCATCACCGAACACCAGCTGGACTCTTCCTGATGTTCTGGAAGCTTCTTGTTGGCAGCAAACAGCCTGCATAGAGCTCCAGATGTGGGACTTTTCACATGAAACATTCATCCTGCTGTGATTCTGGAGAAACATCTTCAGACTAAACAATAAATGCTCTGATGCTCTGATAACAGCTGCATGTTCACCTGCTCTACTTGGTCAGAGCGCCACTAGTTCATCAGTTCTACCAGAAATCCTGTTCTTCTGTCTGAGGAGTCAGAAGAACCAGTTGGAAACCGTTTTCTTACTTTGTGTCTGATGGTCCAGGTCCACTGAGGTTTGGAGGAGGATCCATGGACCGGTCACTCTTCATAGACAGACAGCTGGGTCCTGGAGTTTCTGCTCTCCATCTGTGGTTCTGACCTCTGAAACACAAACATGTTGTAACTCAGATCACATCAGTCAGTGAGAAGATCTGATGAAACCACCTCAGAAGCTCTGAACACACAAACTGCTGCAGAGAATCAGAAGGTTTCATGTTTGTAACTGAGGTCAGATGAAAGCTTCTCTAGATGATGGACATCAGAAGAAGGTCAGTCAGCTTCATCAACACGTTTCTTACGTTGCGTCAGAAGGTCCAGGTCCACTGAGGTCTGGAGGATGACGCATGGACCGGTCACTCTTCATAGACAGACAGCTGGGTCCCTATTTCTGCACCGTTTTGCATCTAGACCACATTGGCACTGGTCCAGCTCCAAAACTACAACACCTAGACTCTTACTGTTAGTCTACATTAACAGCAGCATCTATGAAAGACCGTTGGTGATGTGCGAGACCTTTTGTTGATTTATGCAGGAATAAGCGACGCCTGTACCTCTCAGCTTCAGAGAGTGAACAAAATGCTGCTGCAAAGGAAAAAGAACGTTTGATGGCATCTCCCCTGTTCAGCTGCCTGAGCCTTTTAGGTTCAAATGATTTTATTTGCTTTTAAATCTCTTGATAACCTTGCCCCGCCTTACCTGTGTGAGCTGCCACACACACGCACACACACACCCTCCTGTTCCCTCAGGTCAGCTGATCAGCTGCTCCTGATTGGCCCAAAGACAAAGCGTAAGCTTAGAGGAGACGGTGCGTTTGCTGCAGCAGCTCCGATTGTGGAATGGGTTTACTTTAGATGTCGGACAGGCCTCTTCACTGTCTGATTTTAAACACCTGCTTAAACCCGCCTCCTCTCTGGCCTTAACACCATCTGAGATGTTAGCTTTTAGCTAGTTTTGGATGATTTTTATGATTTAAATGGCATTTTTATTTAGTTTGAACCATATTTGAATCTGTTTAGTTTATTGTTTGAACTCTTTGGCTGTTTTTAGTCCAGTTATATTGTTTTATTGTTGATTCTGTTGTTCTGTGTGCAGGACTTTGGTCCTGCAGGTGTTTCAAGTGTTATACAAATAAAGTTGGTATGATTAGTGAGTTCAAAGAAGGCTGCTTTCTCTCACTCTTGTTATTTTGGTTATCACAGTACAAGACGAGTTTCCTGACTGATGGAGATGCTGACTACAGAGTATCTGTAGAAGTACTCCTGCATGTGTGTGTGTGTGTGTGTGTGTGTGTGTGTGTTTGTGTGTGTGTGCACAACAGTTACGCAACAGTTACACATGTATTATATCTTTATACTGAGTATTTATTATATTATAGTACATATGAGGAATATTTATTCTAAATAGAATCTAATTTTTTACTTTTGCCCATCAGAGCTCAGTGAGTGGAGAAAACAATTAAGCATTACATGAAGCTATAATGACTAAATCAGCACCTTCCCAACACTTTTATTTGCTTCTCAGAGCTGCTAAAAATAAAAGTAACAACATCAAAAGTTTATATCACATTCTTTATAGAAAGTAAGATTTTTTAGTTAGTTTGAAGTTAATAAATAATAAAACTGGTCAGATTTAGATAAGAAAAACATAAAGAAAAAAGAATTTTACTTGTTTTTCGTGGCTTTTGAAGAGACCACATAAAATAATAAAAATATAACACGTGTTATGTGTTTATTAGTCCCATTCTGAACACATTGTTTTATTCTGCTCCAGCAGGTGGCGCTAATGCACCTTTACGCTGGTTACCGACCACCAGAAGAAGCAGAAACCGGAAGCTGCTAGCAGAGCTAGCTTGATGTTGTGGTGTGTGAGGAGAATATTTGAGGCTCTGCAGTAAAAATGTCTTCACTTCAGTCTCTGGGAGAGTTGATCCGCTAAAGCGACTAACTGCTGCTGCTGCAGAAATCTTCTCACCAGGCTGTGGAAACTTTCTTCTCCTCCTCAACAACTTGGTGGAGTTCTTTCCAGAACCAGAGAAGAAATTCTGCGGTCTTCGTGACAATCGGAGCTCCAGAATCAGGTTGTGGGTCAGAAAAGCTTTTCTCTAGACTTCCTGCCCTCTGGATCTGCTGCTGTTCCTTTGGCCAGAACCAAAGCGTTGGATCTTTAATGTCCTGCGTTGTTCTGAAGCAGCATCTTAATCAGCTCTCCTGCTTTGTTTCTATTGCAGCTGTTAGCTAAACACGGCTAAAGAAAACCTGCTACCACTTCAGGATCATCCATCAGCTGGGACTGATTGATCGTGTGTTCTTCACCACCTGGACCTGGACAGCATGGACACAGGTAGGGCTGCCACCTTTCAGATATGTAAATGAGTTGGAGAAGTGGTTTTTCTCTTAGACAGCTGTGCTATTCACACAGGTGTGAAACATCTGTAAAAGCCAGATCTAGTGCAGGAAAATAGCTGAACAGGGAGTGGGGACACACTTTGCCTGGCTATTTGTGCGGTTGTAAGTGATAATATTAATAATAACAACAATAATAATAATGCAATAAACACATAATAAAACATGACACATATTAAACAGACTGGGGATGCTGGGTTGATCTTAAGAGAAGTGGGTTTTAAGCAGTGGCTTAAAAGTAGAAAGAGAGAAGGCATTCCTGATAGAAGTGTGAATCTTCACTTGTTTCCTGATTTGTTTCGATTACGATTATTGGGTCAACGATTCAATTCGATATCCCGATGCATTACGATTATTTCATATTGATTTGTTTTCATTAATAAATAGAAGATGTCAGATAATTGCTTTTTTTTTAAAATCAAAAACGTAAGTGACACAACTTGCCATCCCTCAAAAGCTCTCCATTCACAACAGGTTATGACAAAATATTTTAAACATTTAAGAAGATTTAACAAAGTAAAACATCTGTTTCCTCATTCATCATTCATCCAATAATCGTAATCGAATCGGGAGACAAGTGAAGATTCACACCTCTAGAAGAAATACACATAATCAAACTGGCATATAAAGGGTTAAAATTTAGATAAACATTCAATATTTGATTTTTTCAATTAGAACTGAAGTTGAGCCCAAGATTTGGACCCAAAAAGCAGAAAAAAATATTAATCTGGACTAGGGCTGGGCGATATATCGATACTTTTAAAATATCGGTATAATTTTAAAACAAGATATAAGATGACTTTATATCTTTATATCGATATAACTGGTTAACCTGCTATGCTAGCAATTAGCTGCTGTGCTAGTGACATGCTGCTCCGTCTTTAAGCGGCTATTACATGTATTCTTACAAGTTTGCTCAATCTGAGAGCCTTTGGGTAATTGTGCTGCTCTAAACTTCACATTTGGCGTCCTGGTTTTAAATTATTTGGGGACGTTCAACGTCAACGAAGTTCTGTTTTCCATCCTGCTTGTGCGGAGAGACAAGCCAAACCCCTCCCTCCTCTACGGAAAGCCGGAGTGGCCAAATTACCTCAAATATATTGTAAGGGTTTGAATTGTAAACTATAGGGTTACCGTTTTATTTTGAAGGCAAGCTCAACGGGTGAGAAATGTTGTTCCAGTTTTTTCCGCTCTGGTTTGCTATGCTAGTAAATACTCCGTCACGAGCGATTCTGTAGAAAAAAGTTAAGAGTTTGTAAGGCGTGGGTTATGGCGAAAGTAGCCCGAAAATAATACTCATAAATGAGCAACCAGAGACTCTTGAGTCATTACAGTATAATCGCTGATATGAGTCAATACTGTTAGGGTTTGGAGGAAAAATATCGAGATATATCGTATATCGGAAGTCCAGCTAAAAGATATCGAGATATAAGTTTTGGTCCATATCGCCCAGCCCTAATCTGGACCAATTTTAAAGTTGTTTTAAAAGTGGACATTGTTGTCCTCTAATGCCATCTAATAACTCAGTTTTAGTGTTTTTTTTTTTTTTTCATGAATTACAAACGGGCATTTCAGGGGTTAAAAGCCTCAAAATGATTGAGTTTTTTATGTTTGAGCATGGCTGAAGTTGTTCAACAGATTTATGAAAAAAAAAGTAAAAATAAACATTAATGTATACATTTTTTATAGCCACTTTTACAAGCGGACATTTTTGTCCTCTAATGACTCTTTTGTATGAAAATTAAAGTGAAGCCTGAGGGTTAAGGCTCATATGATTTCCAATTGTAAATACATTTCATTCTACTGTCCGTTTAAAGAAATAATACAACTTTTATATGTGTGAAAAAAAGCTACAGCTGTCTGTAATTCACATAATATGTTTTTGTGTTTCCTACAGATTTTCAACAGGTGATTCTGGTTAAATAAGAAGCTTCAGAAGAACAGAGTGCTCGTGTCAACCACCAGCACCTAGATTTTCTCCACAAAAGGGAGGAACAGGAGAAACTCTGGCCGAGTTTGGAGGGTGTTGGGTAATTTTATCAATCCAGGATTACCTTAGGGAAGTTCAAAGCACAGGGGGGTTATAGTAATCAGTTTGTCAAAACCAATACCAATAATCAAACAATCAATCAGTTTAGACTTTGCAAAGTGGAGAGGAAAAGTACACACCAGTCGGTTGTCAGGTTCGCTCTCATCGGGCAGATGCCTTCCGAAAGGCTTTATTAAGCACACACACAAAAAGATAACCACACACACATTCGACATTCTTCACAGACTCTTAGGCAGGAAGACACACCAGGTGCAATTCTAAATCAACAAACCACAAAGCAGTTGCAGTCTGGACTTTCTCAAGGGAGTTCTACTGATAAGGGGACCAGTACCAGTCCTGGTACTTAGGGCAAGGTCAATCCTCCCTGTAGGAACTACAAAAGCCTGTCTGTTACCAGAGTAAAATAAATGGATGAAACTTCGTTTAAAAACACCAGATGTTAAACAGAAGCCTTTCGCCAGTGAGCTCTGTGGACAAAGATTTAGCCAAAAGACAACTTTAAACAAACACATGGAAGTCCACACAGGACAGAAGCCTTTCGCCTGTGAGCTCTGTGGACAAAGATTTAGCCAAAAGGCACATTTAAACAGTCACATGAGAGTCCACACAGGACAGAAGCCTTTCGTCTGTGAGCTCTGTGGACAAAGATTTAGCCATCAGAAAACTTTAAACAGTCACATGAGAGTCCACACAGGACAGAAGCCCTTTCCTTGTGAGCTATGTGGACAAAGATTTAGCCAAAAGACAACTTTAAGCAGCCACATGAGAGTGCACACAGGAGAGAAACCTTTTGCCTGTGAGCTCTGTGGACAAAGATTTAGCCAAAAGTCAAATTTAAACAAACACATGAGTGTCCACACAGGACAGAAGCCTTTCACCTGTGAGCTCTGTGTAAAAAGATTTAGCCAAAAGACAAATTTAAACAAACACATGAAAGTCCACACAGGACAGAAGCCTTTCACCTGTGAGCTCTGTGGACAAAGATTTAGCCAAAAGGCACATTTAAACCGTCACATGAGAGTCCACACAGGACAGAAGCCTTTCGCCTGTGAGTTCTGTGTAAAAAGATTTAGCCAAAAGACAAATTTAAACAGTCACATGAAAGTCCACACAGGACAGAAGCCTTTCGCCTGTGAGTTCTGTGTAAAAAGATTTAGCCAAAAGACAAATTTAAACAGTCACATGGAAGTCCACACAGGACAGAAGCCTTTCGCCTGTGAGCTCTGTGGACAAAGATTTAGCAAAAAGACACATTTAAACAGTCACATGAAAGTCCACACAGGACAGAAGCCTTTCGCCTGTGAGCTCTGTGTAAAAAGATTTAGCCAAAAGACAAATTTAAACAGTCACATGAAAGTCCACACAGGACAGAAGCCTTTCGCCTGTGAGCTCTGTGTAAAAAGATTTAGCCAAAAGGCACATTTAAACAAACACATGAAAGTCCACACAGGACAGAAGCCTTTCACCTGTGAGCTCTGTGGACAAAGATTTAGCCAAAAGGCACATTTAAACCGTCACATGAGAGTCCACACAGGACAGAAGCCTTTCGCCTGTGAGTTCTGTGTAAAAAGATTTAGCCAAAAGACAAATTTAAACAGTCACATGAAAGTCCACACAGGACAGAAGCCTTTCGCCTGTGAGTTCTGTGTAAAAAGATTTAGCCAAAAGACAAATTTAAACAGTCACATGGAAGTCCACACAGGACAGAAGCCTTTCGCCTGTGAGCTCTGTGGACAAAGATTTAGCAAAAAGACAAATTTAAACAGTCACATGAAAGTCAATCAATCAATCAAAGCTTTATTTATATAGCGCCTTCCGCAACCCTGTCAGGAAGCCCAAAGCGCTGAACGTGGTACAGTTGTAAGTAATTATATTGAATAAATCAACAGCGAGCAGTACTAAGTAATTAGAGGACTGTAAAAGAAAGAACTTCCAATAATTTTACTTAATATGCTTTTATGTTTGTGTACTATGTTCTGTGTCAATATTCTTTGATTTTATTTTACACAACATGATGTGACATTTTAACTAATTCATTTCACTTGTGTTTGTTTTAACCATGTGAAGCACATTGGGCTACCGTTGTGTATGAAATGGGCTATGTAATAAACTTGACTTGAGAGAGAGTTCACAATCGTTTTTTTTTACGAAATGAGACACTCAGCTGAAACTGGGGGAAATATATGATGAATCTAAATCACAGGAGATGCATGTGTGCGCGTGTGTTTGCACTGAATGTGTTCGTGTACATGGTTCACTCATGCGACCATCAAGAACAAAGTAGAAATTCACTGAAAAAAAGTGAACTAACTACATATTCATTTGGTACAAGTGTGAACCTAGAGCCCCACGACTGTTATTATTTTAGGTACGGAGAGTGATCACGCTAGATCAAACAATGGGCTGACACAATGTCTTCCTCCAAACGTGAGTTTATTTACACACAATGCATAAAACAAGTTCTTCTATATAAAAAAGGAACAAGACAGTTCCATCACTGCGGATTTTACCTTCATCACCCTCTCCCTCACTCCCCACTCATGAGGTCTTCACATCACACACCTCCACCACAAACCTACACATTCATGAAGCAGATGTAAAGAAGCAGTTCAGGTCTCTTAACATGCGAAAAGCCCCGGGCCCTGATGGCGTGGCTCCTGCCACTCTAAAGCACTGAGCTGAAGAGCTGGCCCCAGTGTTTACGAGCATCTTCAACTCCTCACTGGAGGAATCTCATGTGCCTGCCTGCTTCAAGATCTTCACCATAGTCCCTGTCCCCAAGAAACCAAGAATCACTGGACTAAATGACTACAGACCTGTGGCTCTGACATCTGTGGTCATGAAGTCATTTGAGCACCTAGTTCTCCCCCACCTCAAGACCCTCACAGCCCCCCTCCTGGACCCCCTGCAGTTTGCATACAGAGCAAACAGGTCTGTAGATGACGCAACAATTCATCCTGCAGCATCTGGACTCCCCAGGTACCTACGCCAGGATATTGTTCGTGGACTTCAGCTCTGCATTCAACACAATCCTGCCAGACCTCCTCCAAGACAAAATGTCCCAGATGAACGTGCCTGACCCCATCTGCAGGTGGATCACTGACTTCCTGACAGACAGGAAACAACAAGTCAGGCTGGGGAAGAATGTCTCGGACCTACGGACCATCAGCACCGGCTCACCACAGGGCTGTGTTCTTTCCCCTCTGCTCTTCTCCCTGTACACCAGCAGCTGCAGCTCCAAGCATGAGTCCGTCAAACTAATTAAGTTTGCTGACGACACCACCATCATCAGACTCATCTCTAATGGGGATGAGTCTGCTTACAGAATGGAGGCTGAACGGCTGGTGTCCTGGTGCAGCCACAACAACCTGGTGCTAAACACCCAGAAGACAGCGGAGGTTGTTGTGGACTTTAGGAAACACCCCCCCCCCCCTTAAACCTGTCTGACACTCCCATCACGATGGTGGACTCATGTTGCTTCCTGGGCACCACCATCACCCCGGACCTCAAATGGGAGCCCACCATCACCACCATCAGAAAAAAGGCCCAGCAGAGGATGTACTTCCTGAGGCAGTTGAAGAAATTCAACCTATCACCACAGTCGATGAGGCAGTTCTACACCGCTATCATCGAGTCCATCCTCACCTCCTCCATCACCGTGTGGTACGCTGGAGCTACCACTAGGGACAAGAAGAGGCTGCAGCGTGTCGTGCGCTCTGCAGAGAAGGTCATTGGCTGCAAACTCCCCTCCACTCAAGATCTGTACACCTCTAGGACGTTGAGGCGTGCAGGTCGGATAACAGCTGACTCGTCTCACGCTGGACACAGTCTCTTCGACTCGCTCCCATCTGGCAGAAGGCTCAGATCCATTCGGACCAGAACCTCTCGCCACAAAAACAGTTTCTTCCCCTCTGCAGTTGGACTTTTGAATGAAAATCCTAGGGCAGCCCACTCAAGTTGATTGGTCCCAGTCACGTGACCCGATGCTGTGCTTGAACCATTCAGCAAATACTCAGATTAATACCTACACGGAGTAGATAGCTGCTTCTCTAATTCTTGCCACTTTTTACATTAATAATTTTATCATGAGTGTTTTATTAGTTCTTATATTTGCTTATCTCTTAATTAATTTTTTTTCTATCTTACCTTGTGCACCAAAATACTACAGCAATTTCCTAATGTTGTGACTTGGCACACATATGGCAATAAAAACTTCTGATTCTGATTCTAAAAACCCCAGAGGGGACTAATGACACCTTCTGCTGGAGGAGGGAGGCAAAACAACCAGGGCTGTGTAACATGCATGTACCATAAATCCTCTAATACAGGCCCGGGCCTGTATTTGACTCAAGCACATCAAGCTCCAGGCCTTTATTGGAAGGAGGGCCAGTATTAGAGGCAGGCCTCTATTTCTATTTGAGCAAAATGAACTAATGGTTCGCTGGAGTTTTTGACAATTAAAATTGCGCCCACATTTTCAAAGTTAAACACATTTATTTTAACAACGGTAGTTCCTGCTTCAGCCCTCTCCCCCCTCCCCCTGCTTCAGCCCTCTCCCCCCTCCCCCTGCGCAGCGGCCGCAAACTCACTGATGCGCCTGCAGCCTCTCGGAGTTCCTGCTGCTCTAAACATTAAAATAATTATTTCATTTTCTGTTCCTCACTTCTGATTACCTTCAATGGTGTCTGTTTGTTGCAACCAGCAGGTACAAAAACTAACTTGTTTTTATTTGACTATTTTTCTGTCCTGCCTGTTTATTATCTTCCTGCATCTCCTCTCAATCCTAAAGAAAAGCTGCTGCCTGGGTTCATATATATTCACCTTATGAGTTACCTTTGAACTGCAGTTCTAAAAGATCTACCGACCGCAAAAACAGCGGAGCGCTTGCTGTTTGGCGGCCGTATCAGTGATCAGTGCGTCGGAGGACAAGGTGATGCCCGCAGCGCCCCGCTCCACAGCATGCAGCGAAACGCATCAGGCGCAAATAAAAGACAGAAAACATTAAAGGAAATGAACCGACATGAACAATCGCGTGTCAGTACCGACGCTCTGGCACAGCGCGTTGCCCCACCCCCCGAGCGCAGGAGCTTGTCACCTGCTGACAGCAGGCTGCTGTCTTTTCCGAGGGCTGCATCTTGCCGGTCATTATCACGTGACAGCGATTAGTCGACGACAGGCATAAAAAGTCACTATAGTGAAGTTGACTAGTTCATACACCCCCTACTGCTGCTCTCCAGAGTGTTCTGCAGCATAATCAGCACGTTCTCTTTGAACTTGATAGTGTAATGACCTGGTTGGGGTTGTAAGCCAGGTGCATTCTGGGTATTGTGTTATATGTGTTTCCTATCGTTCTGCTAGTTCCTATGTGCTGATTTGTGTGTTGTGTGAGTGTTATGTAAGCCACAGGGAAGGTGATGTGTGTTCTGTGGAGCGGGTTGAATTAGCATGGTTAACTGACACCGTGACTCTGTGTGGTCGGAGCGTGATAGAGGATCGTGTCTGTAGCGTTACAAAGCGTTGAAGAAAAAGCCTAATAAAGGTATGCGTGAACTTCTACTGCCTCCTGCTGGTTGATTTGGGGACTATAACCCTGCCGCTGGGACGCCCATATTTGCTTGTTACCACATTCCACCCGGCCACAATAAGAGACCGGCCATTATTCACCTCCGCGCTGACTCCGACACCGGCCAAGGCCTTTAATTGAATACCGGCCTGTATTAGAGGATTCACGGTACATAATACACACGACAATCATCATGCAAACAAGAAAAAGAATAAAAACATGCACTATTATCCACACCAAGTGGTAATACGGCTGCGCCCTCTCACATATGCGGCCCTCCACAGCCAACTTTCTAGTCGTCACAGACCCCCTTTCTAAAAGTGACTCACAATGAAATCATTAGGAGTTTCATAAAAGGAAAAATAAGTATAGCAAAATAATCAACTGAACAAAAACAGCAGTGCCAGTGCTTTCTGTTAAAAGGAAGGAAATAATTATTAAACTGCCGATTTCCTTCCTTTTCAATTAATCAGCGCACGCTTACCTGTTATGTTTCATGGGAAGGGCTCAGATAACGGGTAATCGGCACATCCACACCACTGATCCTACAGCGCATTTACACACACACACACACACGCAGCATACAGCCCCAGCCTTTCCAAACAATTGTATGAAAACTAAAAGGATCCCTTACCCGTAAAAATAATCCTCCATGCACCCAGTGTACAGCTCAGACACGCTGCCCCACCTGTCTGTCAGGACACCAGGTAAACGCTCTTGCGCAGCTGGACACAATAGGGGCTTTTAAAGAGCCGGCATAATTACGCGGGGAGGAGGAGCGCAGCGCTCATAGAGAACAAACGGCCACCAGTCACACAAGCATGCTCGGTCTCGGTGGCTTTCGCTCTGCGATTTAATCCCAAAATGGACAATTTCCTTCCGTCATATCAAGAGAAGAAACTAAACACTTTCATTGGCTTGAGCCAGCTCCCATTCACAATCAGCCCAATATTCACTTCCCCCATCAGGGGCGAGCTCCACGGCGGCCGAAAATGCAGCCTGCGCATCGGAGCGTTCATCATCCGAGGTGGGCACTGGGAACCTGGACAAGGCATCAGCATTTGTGTTGCTTTTTCCGGGACGATACTTGTTGTAGTTAAAGGAGGCAAGCTGAGCAACCCAGCGCTGTTCCGTTGCCCCCAGGCGGGCTGTCTGCCGATGGGCAACAGGATTATTGTCAGTATATACTGAGAACGTTGCACCAGTCAAATAATCCTTAAACTTCTCGGTTACTGCCCACTTGAGTGCCAAAAGCTCCAATTTGAAGGAGCTATAGTTCGCGTCGTTGCGCTTAGCTGGGTATAAGCTACGGCTGGCATAGGGTATGACATGTTCCTGCCCCGGTTGTACTTGAGCCAGCACTGCTCCCAACCCCTGATTACTTGCGTCTGTGTACAAAATGAATGGCAACGAATAATCAGCGTATGCCAGGACAGGGGCCTGGATAAGCGCTGTCTTCAGTGCGTCAAAGGCCACTTGGTGCTCAGGGGACCATCGTACTGCCCGGGTCTCCGTCCCCTTGTTAATAGGGGCGCCGGCCAGCAGTGCATTCAGTGGCCGGGC